AACTTGCCATAATAGGTGAAGTAAATACATCATGGGCTAATGTTTATTTAGATTGTTTTCTTCTAAGGAGAAGCAAGACTGGACACAGAAAAGAGATGAAGATCTCTCAGAAAACTGTGAGATTATTTACGGTAGATCAGCAAGGGCTCCTGACCCCCAGTAGCACTACAAAAATATTCCCCGCCCTCTAGCCCAGCCAAAAATAAGATTGCAATCCTTGATCTGTAGTACAGTATATAGATCTGTTCTAGCATACGTGTATCAGCCCCACGTCCTGTGCACTAATTAATATAACTTTTCACTCTTATTTCTCCCTGGAAAAGACCCTGATGTTGGGAAAGTATGAGGGCAAGAGGAGACGGGGACATCAGAGGATGAGATGGATGGACAGTGTCATTGAAGCTACCAATATGAATTTGATCAAACTCCGGGAGGCAGTGGAAGACAGGAGGGCCTGGCGCACTGTGGTCTATGGGGTCACGAAGAATTGGATACAATTTAACAACTAAACAACAACAAGCACTCTTATTTTGTGTCTATTATGGGCTTTGGTGGACCTCTTGCATCAAATGACAGAAGATATCCCACAAGCCTACAGGCTGATCCGGCCCGGTATAAAGAATACAACAGTATTCTTGTGGCATAAGGCAAGACCAAAGAACAAGAGAATTTTAGGAGACAACTCTGGAAGATCAGAGATTAATTTTTTAATTCCTCAACATTTTGCTCCAGCAGAGATTTTAATAAGAAAAAATAAATAAGTTTCCTGCACATTCTGCCATATGCTCACATAAACAATAGATGAAAACATATGGCTTGTGGGTGGCCTTAAGCCTACAAAGCAGCTTTTTTTTCTTGGCACAGGTACTTTTTGATATAATGCTAGGAATCTCAGTGAGTGCATGTGCATGTGTTTTTAAAGACTACATTTCTGAGTCTTCATATTTGTGACAAAATGTCATAAACCATCTGGTGTCAGGATTGCAGTCTTCTATCTTCAATACTGGGTCTCAGTCTTTAAATTCTTGGTCATAAAAAGCCCTTCCTGTTTTTGGATAGCGGGCATTTCACTGGCTGCTGTTATCCTGCTCCTGTCCAGAGCAGTGACCAGGCAAATTTAAGTAACAGAAAAGGCCAGGGAAGTTTATGCCTGTCAGCAAGAAGCTTGCAGAAACAAGGAATCATCATACTGGGGAGGGGAGAGAGTGAGTGCACTATTGGTTTTAAAGACTGAGGAGTGAATCTAATTTCAGTTCCAACTAGAGGCAAACTGCTAAAATGAATGGGGCTTGATAGACAACACTACAATAAGTCCCATTAATTTCAATAGTCCTACTCTGGCTGGGGCTAGCACTCAAGATTCCATGGATACACAAAGAGGCTGCTTTCAAACTCTTACACCAAAGAGGAATTATATGGGTCCCCCTCTGCTACATCAGACTGGTATTGTAACTTATGCGCTGAATGCTACAGATGTACAAATCACTCATTTTTCAAGGGAGAATTATGAAAAGTAAGTGTTAATGTAGAAAGCTCACAAAAGCAATAAAGTGTTGTAGAGCAAAGACAACAATCCCATATTTCTTTTCTAGCAAATAAATCCTATTGCAAGTGTAGAGAACATGTGGCCCTCAGGATGTTGGGCTGCAACACCAGTTGGCCTTAACCACCATAGTGCAGGTAATGAATGACAGGAGTGCTGTCCACATCCAACTGCTTTAAATCCTGTAATATTAACCCATGACAATGCATAATCAAACTAGGATTGTGTGGATCAACATCTGGCTTTGTGGACAAAATGAATGGCTCAAGAAAAGGAATAGCTTGTTTGATTAATCAATAAATATACACCTTAGAGGGCCACTTTTGCTGGCTACTTGCACTTGAGGCTGACTTATTTTGCATTTAGCCATCAAACATGGCTGACACAGCCACTCCATAAGGACTGAGTGAAGGAAAAAACTATCCTGGAAATACATATTACCCTGATTGCACTAGAGTTTCCAAGCCATCACCAGAAACATCCAGTGATAATGTGGGGACTCCTTCTAAACTGCCACTTGTTTCTATGATGATTGTGCACGAGAAGATAATAATGGATTGTACTCTCTGTTTTGATTATGAACAGAAGGACAAGTGGATTAAAACCAGAGATATTATGAGAGAATGTAAAAATACAATTCCTGTAGTAAAAAGAAAAGAAAATCCTAGATGAATGATGGAAGAAACTTACAATTGTAAGGGACATGTGAGAAGTAGAAGTAAAAAGTGACAAAAATAGTCAGAAGCAAAAGTAAAATGTGACAAAAATAGGGTCAGAATCCTAAATGCAGTTTTTCAACAACTGTCATGTAGAGAAAAAGAGAGCTATTACAATAACCACTGCAAAGAAACAGAGAACAAAAAAAGGGGAAAAACAAGAGAAATCAAAGGGAAAATTAAGTATAGATTAGGAATGCTGAATGACCAACAAGGAAGGACACTATCTGACCAGGAGAAAATAAAGAGAAGGTGGAAAGAGTATACTGAAGACTTGTATAGAAGAGATAAAAGAATTACAGACTCCTTTGATGAGAAATCCTACGATGAAGAACCTGCAGTTCTAGAAAGTGAAGTGAAAGGTTCTCTGAAAGCACTAGGAAGAAATAAATTACTAGGGATAGAATACTGACAGAACTATTTCAAACCTCAATGCCAAAATACTATGGGTAGATAGAATACTGCCAGAACTATTTCAAACCTCAATGCCAAAATCTTAACAAAAATATGGCAACAAGTATAGAAAATGAAACAATGGCTCACAGACTGGCAACATTCAATATTAATATACAGTGGTGCCTCGCATAGCGACGTTAATTGGTGCAGCAAAAATCGCTGCTAAGCGATTTCATCGCTATGCGATTTTAAAAAGCCCATAGGAATGCATTGAAAGCCCTTCAATGCGTTCCTATGGGCTTAAAACTGACCTTTAAGTGAAGATCCTCCATACGGCGGCCATTTTCGCTGCCCGGTAAGCGAGGAATCCGTCCCTAAACACAGCGGGCAGCCATTTTTTTTACCTGGTGGCCATTTTGGAACCGCCGATCAGCTGGGGAAAAACCATCGCTTTGCGATAATCGGTAATCAAAACAGGGAACCGATCATCGCAAAGCGAAAAAACCCCATTCAGACCATAGCAAAGTGATTGCAAAAGCAATTGCAAAATCTTAATCGCTAAGCAAAGCGAACGCAAAAGCGACTGCAAAATCTTCATCGCTATGCGATTTCATCATTAAACGGGACACCCGTTAAGCGAGGCACCACTGTACATTCCAATCTCCAAGAGAGGAGATGCCAAGGAATGCAGGGACCAAGGGGCCATTGTGTGCACAGTTATGCCCAAGTTGTTGCAACAAAGACTTTTACCTTATATGAAGTGAGAAATGCCAGACATCAAGCCAAATTCCAAAAAAGAAGAGGCACTCGAGATCAGATTGCAAATATTCACTGGCGACTGGAGAGCACGGAACATTTTCAGAAGATCAGTTTATGCTTTACAGCAAAACCTTTGACTGTGTGAATCATGAGAAACAATGGATTGTTCTAAAAGAAATGAGTGTGGCTCTACACTTGATTGTCCCAATGCATAACCTCTATTATGGACAAGAAGCTACCATTAGGACTCGAGATCAGATTGCAAATATTCACTGGCGACTGGAGAGCACGGAACATTTTCAGAAGATCAGTTTATGCTTTACAGCAAAACCTTTGACTGTGTGAATCATGAGAAACAATGGATTGTTCTAAAAGAAATGAGTGTGGCTCTACACTTGATTGTCCCAATGCATAACCTCTATTATGGACAAGAAGCTACCATTAGGACAGAATAAGGAGCTCTGCACTTGATTGCATAACCTCTATTGTGGACAAGAAGCTCCCATTAGGACAGAATAAGGAGAGACAGAACAGGCAAAGCTGTCAGACAAGGGTACATTTCATCCCCTTATCTGTCAATCCATATGCAGAACACTATCATACAAAAAATCAAAATGGATTCAGATGAAGGAGTGAAAATTGGCAGAAGAAACATCATGTATGCAGATACCATCTTATTGGCAGAAAGCAGCAATTACTTGAAATAACTTTTAGTGAAAGTGAACAAAGTACCAAAGCAGGACTGCAGTTGAACATTAAGATGACAAAAATTATGGCTACAGAAGAACTACACAACTTTAGTATTTTCAATGAAGAAGCTGAAATAGTTAAGAGATTTTGTATACCTTGCTTTAATCATCAATCCAAATGGAAACTGCAGCCAAAAAATAAGAATGAAACTTGGAACAGCAGCAATAAAGGACTTTGAAAAGATCAATAAGAGTAAGGATGAGTCACTGGAGACCAAGACCAAGATCAACCACATTCCTGTATTTCCGAATCAACCACACTCCTGTATTTCCGAACACTATGTATGGGTGTAAAGACTGGACAGTAAAGAATGTTGACAGGAAAAAAATGATTCATTTGAAATATGGTGCTGGAGGAGAGCTTTGTGGATGCCTGGACTGCTACAAGGGTGAACAAAATAGGTCCTAGGGCAAATCAAGGTTGAACTTCTCTGGAGGCAAAATGATGAACACTGAGGCTATTCTACTTGGGCAACATCAGGAGAAGGAAGATTCTCTGCAAATGACTATAAGGCTAGGAAAAGTTGAAAGCAGCAGGAAAATAGGAAGACCAAAATCTAGGTGGATTGAGACTTTGCAAAAGCTGAGCAGGGCTGTTGAGGACAGGACACGTTGGAGATCTCTCATTCATAGGGTCACCCTAAGTCAGAGGCAACTTGACAGCATGTAACTCTCTGTTTTGAATGTTTTGAATGTCTTCTACACTGGAGATCACGGCTGGATACAGAACGCAGAACCTGAAAATCACCAGGAATAATGCTATTTGCCCAACAGTTCTCATCCCATCAGCTGTATAGAGCAAAGTCAAATTTATTTCAATATATACATACATGTCGCCAGCAGTGCCAAAACCAAAAAGTTAGCAGCATTTTCTTCAAGTACAAAAATACACATTTATTTCAGAACATATACAATAGCAAAAATGTACCAATATACAATCTTGAAGCATTTTGAAGGTAATGGTAATGCATTACTTTCAATATATTATAATAAAGATTATTTCAATGGTATGTAATAAAATTACAGAAGTTCTGACTGCACACCACCACCACAAGCAAGATGTAATGCCATTGGAGAGAATCATATTTAAGAAACTATTCACAACTGAAAGAAAAATGAAATACCCAAACAGAACACAAAATGGTGACCAATGTAACACTTGGAATTGTAAAGATACAGAAGGGTTAAGATTTATGCTTCATTTAAAAACCTTCTTTTGCTCTGAGAGTAAAGCAACTGGAACTGTTACACAATTGGCCTCATAAAACATACAAAAATGTTAAAACTTTTCTATTTGGAGGACAATGAAATGGACCATCAACTTCAAAACAGAAATACAATACCATAGCTATGGAGGCCCAGGTTGACCTCACACACCACATCCAAACCACAGCAGACACAAAACGTAGCTTTACAATGTTCAGAACATAGAGGGATAGTTTAGAGAAAAACTGTTTTGCAAGCACATACAAAAGTATTTGCTAGTGTTCCACTTTAAAGTTCTTGGTATCACCTTCCCTAGACATCAGAAAACATCTTCAAAATTCCATGCCTTTATGTGGCGAAGTAATTCCTGCAATCCTATAAACAGTAAAGGTCCCTGATGAGAATATAGCCTTCTGGGATTATTAAACCAAACAAATTCAAAATAAAATTATTTCACACTGGCTTTTCAAACGTAAGATTCTTCTGTGAAAAGGGTTTGGTCCATCTCTTCAAATTTAGAGTCACTGCACAACTTTTTCCGCCATTCCGTTTTGCTCTTATCAGTCCCTTTTGGTGATTTGGAGAAACACTTATTTGAATTGGTCTGAAACAAAAGCTCATCCTGAACTCTGGTAAGGTCTGAAGAGGCAGCACAAACTTCCCTTTCAGAGTTTGCATCCGCAACCTTGGTGCCTGTGCTTAATGAAGAGCTATCATTCTTGGAATCTGCCATTTGCTGGGCTGTGATCTCTGTGGACAGTGCACGTCTGTTTAAGTTTTGCTCAGTGACCAAATGACATGCAGTGCTTAAGACAGCATCTGGCTCAGGTTTGTGATCAGTTCTTGGATTAAGAAAAGGTGACTGTGGTTTATGAGAAGGCGAAAAGGAAGAGCTTTCCTCTTCTTCCTCTTCTTTGCTTTGCTCTGCCAAAAGCTCTAAGGCCTTTAACCGCTTATCCTTGACTTCCATCTGACAGAAGGGAAGGTTGCTTAACTGCCCGATACCCTGAGAAGAACCGCTCTCCTGGTCCACCAACACAGCTGGAACATCTGCTGCAAAACAGCTGCTCGTTCCTTGCTCTTGCCCACGACACAGGCTGCTTGTGGATACATCCAAAGGAGATGCAGGTGACTCCAAAGTTATTTTAATGGAACTGTTCTTTTTCTCTCCCTGTTTGGAGGATCTTTCTCTTTTCCGCAGAGTCCAATTTTTCATGGTGGAAGCTCCACTTTTTAACCATGTGCAGGGATGGAGAGTGACGGGTGTTTTATGAGGAGGCCATTCCAGGCTCTCTTTCTTAACACATACTGCGCTACCACTTGCTTGGTTAGGAAAAGAGCCAACCCCTGATCCCAAGTTGGGACCTGAGAAAGAGTTAAAATCAGGAGAAACTTCTCCGTATTTCCTTTGTGGGTGAAATGCACAGTCCAGAGGAGAGGAGGTCTCGGTTGGGGTAAACACCGAGTAGTCCGAAAACTGGGAAAAAGCGCTATCAAGTGAGCTCATTGAAGACCCTGAAGGAGAAGTGCCAGGGGATGAGAGACTAGAACAGCTAGTCCTTGAGCAAATATTTAACCTAAGCGGAGGTGGTGGGAGAAGGCGATTAGATACACTTTTCTTTTCCACGCTGCTGCTTTCAGAGCCATCCTTGCCCACATCTATTCCCATCACTAGACTCTGATTCATAAGCTTCTGGCCTTCCACTTGGAGTGAGCGAAGCTGCTTCAGATAGTCTTCATCTGTATGGGATATAACAGCATCACAGCTGGCTTTGCGCACGGCACTTTCATGGAACCCGCTGAGTGGTGTAAAATTAGAGGCAAGAAGGCCAATGGTGGGTTCGGAACAGCGCCTGTGTCTTCTTGAGCTCTTGACAACATCTGAGATGGCTGTGGATGAATAGCCTGATGTGACCGAGCACAAAGAATCATTCTCAGAGTGCTCCCGCGATGGAGATTTGTGATGGAAGCCAGCCGAAATGGACACTGGTTGAGATTTGGCGGGTAATTTGATCTGAGGGTCATCCGGTTCAGGTGGGTCCAAATCACAGTCACTCAGGGTCAGAACAGAATCCCTACTCCTATTCTCTTCACCTCGGTTTTTAAGGAGGTTGTTAAATGAGGAGTCTGTGCAATCATTCAGCTCATTTTCCAAACTGTCATAGGAGGAGTCATTCAAATGAAAGGAAGACAGATCTGTAGGAGTACGAAAGAGGCATTAGAGCACCTTGAAGCATTACCAGTAAAATTAATAGCAGGAATACATAATGCAAAAAGGTAGACTTTTTATATCAATTTTCTCAACAAAGCATGCATTACAATTCATAACCTACATATATATGTTCACAGAGCCATCTTGCTGAAGGACATTCAGCTATATTATTTGAGACTATGAGCCTCACATTAAGACCACACACCAGAGTTTTCCCTGTATTGTACCAAGGCTACACATTATAATCACCATGGAATTGTCACCCGTCCAGGACATTCCATGGAGATCCAGTTAAAATGCTAAAACCTCCTTCCCTCCCTATTTAATACTTCCTTACTTACCTGAACCATCTTCTCCATCATTTTTGGGCATTATATCTGCAAAGACAGAAGTGATTTCCTCTCCAAAAATCCTGCAGCAATTTTCAATTAGAAATTGTACAAGGACGGAAACCTGCAACCAAACAAGGACAGTGAGATTTATTCTGAAGGCATGAAGATAGCCAAGAAATTTCAGGCTCATTTGAAACTGCAAAGTTCATTATCAAAGCTCCCACTTGACTTGGCTATTAGTTCATCGTTTAAAGTTTCTTTTCCTTCTGCAATTAACTCCATAGACTTTTATAGCACATCCCTTCTTTTTATTCATTCTGTGCTATGAAATAATATATACAGATCTTGATTTTATACAATACTCTTTATATAGGGTGACTTACATTAATAGTATGCATTTTTCAAAACAAATTAAGTCTTCCTTCCTTCTAGTCCCTGCTGTTTCCTTGGCACAAAACAACAGGCTCTTTCTATAACCCCTTCCTCTTCTGCTCAGCACTAGAACATTTTCTTTGCCTGCCTCCTGTCAGCTGTGTCTGCTCCCGTTTCTGTGCCAGTTCTTTTCCTCCCACACAAATCCTCCTCCTGCAACCTGTTTGTTCTAGGCTGCCTCCCAAGACAGGATTGGAATTTAATGTGCCCCACTAGAGACACTGGTCACATTGGGAAATGCGGAGGACAGAATTGAGATTATTGTTGCTTTCGATTTTGTACTACCAAGCCAAACGCTTGTCTTGACCTTTAAATTAGAACAGATATAGAATTTGTATTAATTACTATGGCATACTAGACCACAGCCTTGATATGAGTTTATATATTCAGAAAAATAATGTAGATGATTATTTTCATCATGAAACCATCTGAACCTGCACAATGGAAGCTGCAGAAGTTGAAAATGTATCTCTTAAAACAGAAAATAAATTTGCTGCACATGGAAAAGAGCACAATGAAGATTTAAATCTCTTTCCAAAATATTAGTTTTCTACATCCAAGGAGTTATTTTTTGAAGAAAAAAAAGGAGATCATTCATACAGATAATTTCATATTTGCTATACACTGGGAGGAAAGGCTTTACTATTTAATTCTAACGACAGAACAGAACTACAGTCGTGCCCCGCTTAACGATTACCCTGCATTACAACAAATCCGCTTTACGAGGATGTTTAAAACGATGATCTAAATGGGGGAATTTCACTTAGCAATGATTGGTTCCCTGCTTCGGGAACCGATTTTCGCGTTACGACGATTAAAAACAGCTGATCGTTAGGTTTTCAAAATGGCCGCTGGGTGCTTAAATTGGCTCCCTGCTGTGCTTAGCGACGGATTCCTCGCTATACAGGCACCGAAAATGGCCGCCGTATGGAGGATCTTTGTTGGACGGTGAGCTTTTAGCCCATTGGAACGCATTGAGGGGTTTTCAATGTGTTTCAATGGGCTTTTTAATTTCGCTTTATGATGTTTTCGCTTAACAGCGATTTTCCTGGAATGGATTATCGTCATTAAGCGAGGCTCCACTGTAACCCTAGAACAAGTGGCAGATCTATCTCAGCACCCAGTCTCTAATAGAGACCAGTAGTGCAGAAAAATGGCAAAGACTGAAGTTCCTTTGGTAACTTTTTCAGCTTATTCATGTATGAGATAATGCAAAGCTCCTCACTCTGGATGAGAGCCAGAAACACTGGAAGAGGAAGTACCATTCATTCATGCTTCCTCTTAAGCCTTTCTCTTTAAAATCTCAAACGGTTCAAAAGGATGAACAGAACTACTGGTTAACTAACCTTCTTTGTGAATTCTCCTTCTGTTCCAGGACTTGCAGAAGCTGGGGGCCAGAGCAAGCTGGGAGCAATGCACACTGCTAAATTAAATGCAGTCATCTGGTTGTCTTCAGATTGCTTTTCTATGCTGTGCAATACTCCAAAAAGGTAGCGTAACAGGACCACATTGGCTCGGGGGAGCTGCTCCAGTAACCTAAACACACACACAAGGAACTTTTTTAAAAAACAAGGCAGCGTTTGTGAAAATTAACTTCAGAGCTCTTCCCTTCTTTCCCACCACTCAGTCTACAAAATAAACAGATTTATCCAGATTCTACTTCTAACACAGGGTGGTGAGACCGTTCTTCTGCATGTTACAAGTAGTTGAAAATACCTATAAAGGGAGCAAAATGAACTGCTGAATGAGATACAACAATCAAAATGAATACACCATAGCTTTTGAGTATCAATGAAACTGAACCAATAGACCTACATTTTTATGAACATTCATTTTTTAAACTGGCATAGGAAGTTATACAAATAATTCTACCTGTGGATGCTTTTTATTTTCTCTTCACAGTTCCCTTCATCCATTAAAGAAACCCACTGATCACAGAGCTGGGATGAGAAAATGCTGCCTGGGATATTACGAAGAAAATCCTTATTGAAAGAGAAAGAACAATACTTGTTTAATTCTTTTTAAAATATTTGTGTAGTTACTGTTTTTAGCTTTTAAATATTGTTTTGTTAATTATGCAAGCTGCCTTGTGTTCTTTTAAGGAGAAATTCACCTGGTGGTTCTATACAAACTACTAACTCACAATCTCAGCTACCTCACACTGTTGTTGCATAAATATACCTGGCAAATCTATCTTTAGCTTCTTGAAAGGCTGCTGGAATACCAAATAAATCACGGAGCCCTCAATATGTCAGCAAAAATTCATAGCCAAACTTCTGCATTCTGGAACAAAGGTAATCCCATGCTTTCTGTCTCTTTAAAGTAGTTATTTATTGGCATTTCTTTTTTATCCAGACACCACCATATTCCATTTTAAGACATCCTGTCATCAGAAGGCAGTGAGATATGATGATAGTTCTTAAGGTCATCCTCTCTGTGAATGTGCCCATACAATAAATAGAACATTCTTGGCAATGGCCACAAACAGGGAACCAAAGGATCAATGAATTACAGTAAGGGGGAAGCCTCCTAAAAATAGCAGAGCAGCTGAACAAGACGCTCTGAAAGATGTCACAAGAATGGGTACAAAAGACAGTTGTGCTGCCACTCAAGGGACAGGGAACACAATAATCTTAGGTGATGTTAGAACTGCAGAGCTGGAATGGACCCTACGGATCATCAATTTCAGCCCTTGTCAAGGAGGCACAGTGGGGAATCGAACTCCCAACCTCTGGCTCTGCAGCCAGATATCTAATCTACTCATTCCCTTTCAGATCTCATGGGATTCTTCCTTATGCCTCCCTTTGTCCCAAATTAGTGAAAAATGAAAAAAAAATTAACCACAGTAAATAATTTGAAACTCACTCTTCATACTCAAGTTTAATCGTGACTATATTACAAAATAAGTTCCTGCAAATCTTCCCCTCTCACCTCTTTGTGCTCTCCAGATCTTTCTTCCCTTCTCTTTCCTAACAATCTGACATGTTTCCTTTATTGTTCATATATCCTGTTTCTACTCTCAACTGGAGTAGACACCAAATCAGTTGCGGAATGACAAGTCAATAATTACGCAAATCCTATGGATTCAATGGGTCTGTTCCAGTCAGCAGTGGTCTATCCACTGTTTTAGAAAGCACCATTTGTGAGGCACCAGTTCAAAAAACTTAAGCCTCTGTCTTCCATCCACTTCCAAGACAGATTTCAAACCCTGAAGGGTTTGGAAGTCAGTTTTGTAGAAATAGCTTCAGCAACTGACTACTGCATGTTTTGCATGTATGAGGTTCCAGATGTGCTGTGATCTGTATCCTCTTCAGAGTTCCCTTATGTGGCTAGAAAAAACCTCTGCCTTGCCTCTTGCGAAATAGGGCTCAATCCGTTGTGCAAATTCAGCTCGACTAACTACATGCAGGAATAGGCAACCTGATGCTCCCAAGGTGCTCTGGGCCGCAACTCCCAGAATCACTGGGATGCTGACCATACTGTTTGGCCAGGCTGGCCAACAAGAAGTTATCCCCAAACATCTGGAGAGCACCAGACTGTCTACCTCTGGATGAGAACCTTGGTTCAGTAAAATGGGCAGATCTTCACTTCCTTTTATGATTCAAAATTTATATGGTCAGACCTCACCCTACACAAAGGTAAGGGATGCCCGCCTACCTTGAACACAGAAGCGGTGACAAATATGGACTCGCAGAGTAAGTGCACTTCATCTCCTGAGTCAAGCTTCTCCTTCAGCTCTCTGCAGGATTTGGCACTTGCTGAACGTCTGAAAATGCCCCGAGTGAAAGGCCCCTCTTGATAGAGAAAGGAAAGCATATCCTGTAAAAGAAATACATAAATATCTCAGGATCTGTAATCCTGTCTAGCAGCTAGTGTCCTTGGGTTCTCTCAAGGCAGGGTAAAAATATTTTAAACTGATGAACTAACAAATGAACAAACAAACAAACAGATTTTTAACAGATACAGTGGTGCCTCGCATGATGAGCGACGTTTAACGACGAATTCGCATAGCGATCTTTTTTTAGATCGCTAATGCGACCGCATTGCGATGGTTAGATAGGGCGAAAATCGCATTGCGATGATCGGTAAGTGTTTCGCTTACCGATCTTCGCATTGCGATGTTCCTAGAACAGCTGATCGGCGGTTCCAAAATGGCCGCCGCAAGTGGTTTCATGCCCTGCCTTCGCTTACCGAGGGCGCGAAAATGGCGGCGCTATGGAGGAACTTCGCTCAAGGGTGAGTTTGTGCCCCATAGGAACGCATTAAACCAAGTTTAATGCGTTCCTATGGGTTTTTTCGATCCGTTTAGCGATGTTTCTTCATAGCAACAATTAATCTGGAACGGATTAACGTCGCTATGCGGGGCACCACTGTACAAGATGTTGAATTGAGGAAAAGCTGTAAGACCAGTAACAATGACCACTCCCCGGAATCTCACTCCCAGCTTTTACACAGCCATTCCTTTCAACACGTCTGCTTCTCAAACTCAAATGCTTGGAAAAATGAAAGTTCAAACACATTTAAAATGTTGAAATGATTAGACTATTTTTACCAGAAGCAGGCTACTTCAACAGCATTCTCAACCATTTGCTAGATCAAGCGGTGGGGCATAAATTGCATGCACATATATACTGCATCGATTGAATTTCTCCATAGTCACAGAAAATTTGTCCTGTATCCAAGTAGCCCCATTTTACTTCATTATTCTTTGATCTTTTTACTTCACTTCGAAGTCTGTTAAGTGACTTCCAGATGGTCCAGCTAGAGTCTTGTTCTGGTGGGACATACTTCAGCATTCAAGGTGTGCTGTTTTTGTTCTCCATAGGTTTAGCCTAGACTCTTCTGGTTTAATATTTAGAGCTTGAGTTGTGTGCAGAAAACGTTTCCACAATTTTAGCCATCGTCTAGGGGTTGTCATCCATAAAGTGGATGGGTCTGGTGTTGTATTACCTTATTTTGTTCATTATATGCTAGCACCTCTCAACGTAATTCTGGTGGGGCAGTGTAAACCAAATAATAGGCTTTTTCAATGGGGGAAGGTTTCAGGCAGCCAGTAATAATTCTGCATGATTCATTAAGAGCTGCATCCACTTGTTTGGCATATACTGATTTATACCATACACCGCTAGCATATTCTGCTGTTCCTATTGTTTTTGGATGTGCACTCCAGTTTGACCCATCCAGTTTCCTAAGTATGTTATTTCTGGCGGCATCTTTCTGTTTGGTGTTTAGCCATTCTTTTTTGTAGGTCAGAGTTTGATCAGAGCAATGCCCAAATACTTTGGGGTAGGGAATTTTTCCAAAATCTTGTCTTAGTTTAAAGACAACATTCCACAACTGGGACACTATCAGTAGAGTAAGGAAGACACTTTGAAAAGACTGAACAGAGAAAATCAAAATACAGATTTGGCTGGGATGGGAAGAGGGACTTGTTCAGGTTTTTTGATCCCAAGCTGCCAAGGGCTTCAAATGTGAGTACTGGCACTCTGAACTGAACTTAAAAGTATGTGAAGTGCTAGCATATCAGAGAGATGAACAGTAGCCTAGCCTTCTGATCATTATCCTAGCTTCCTATAGATAAGGAGTGTTTGACTTCCATATTTTGTATAGAGAAAAATGTTTTTTAATAGTGATCCAATATAAAGTTATGTGGTAAACCAAATTTGACTCCTGTTGACGTTTTTTTCACAGGGAACCAGTAGAAGAGCCATTACTGGAAAAACCCTGAAATCAGCAAAGCATTCCAGAACCCAGCAATTATTTCAGTTTGGAGAACTGAAATCTCAGTAGTTAAAAGCATAATGAATGGTAGGTACTGTTCCTCTCTGACACAAGAATCTTTGAATGAACAGCAGCTATGGGAAGCAGAAGGGAAACACACCATTATTAAGACTAAACTATTATTATTATAACTACAATGTGACTGTTTGGCTGAACTGATAATCTAGGTTTTCCAGGGAAGATCTCAAAAAAAAAAAAAAAGAACCTCTGCAAATATGTCAAAGGGGAACTCAGTTGGGGAAATCCACCACCTTTCTTTTTATTTAAAAGACATGCATTTTAATTCCCTTTCAGCTTTTCCATCCATATGTACGTCATCTGTTTGTTATGTGATATGTATTATTTATGCTGAGATTTCATTTCCTTTTTAAGTATTGAAGAACGTAACTGTTCTGAAAATTATTCTTTAGTGGTTCTGCCGCAGATTTTTAGGACCAAACGTAGACCATTCAGATATTTTGGATGAACTAAATTACTTGGAAGTGCCTCAGTCTGTTTTTTGTTTGTTTGTTTGTTTGTTTGTTTGTTTTGGGAAGAAACTGTATAGGCCAGACACAATTCTCATTCCAATACTGTATAGCAGCTGTAGATTGAAATCCTGTTTATGCCTGTGGTAGAATGATAACATCAGTGGGAGCATGGAATCTGGGGGAGCCATGGGATGGGAGGAGGAAATCTTTAATTATCTAAAATTGCTGCAACAGCTGATCTTACCTGCAGCAACAGGCTGCTTTGGTGACTATGATTCTTTTAACTATCATCTGCGAACTCACACTAATTGATTCTGTGCCAGCACGGAGAACTATTTAAAATCCTCTAGAGCTGAACCAGAAGGTGGGAAGCCTACTCTCACTTAAAACTATCAGCATGAATCAGAGACAATGATGAAGAATTAAAGACTTCCTCTTTCTGTTCTACAGCTTCCATGTAATGAAAGAGGTTACACGGGATTTGGAAGAAGTACAAAACAGACGTCAACATGCAGATGGCACTAAAACAGTATTTAGCACTGAGTAGAAAAGCCAGCAAGGAAGCAGAGGAGTGCTGTGAAACATAGCTTAGAGAGATCTTAAATGTAAAACAGAAAAAAGTCTTGAAATGGACTGCTTACCCAGAACTGAAGCACATATTAAGCACGTATCAAGTAGTAGAACAGCTGGACTTTCCAGCATACTGTTATAGTCCTTCACACGTGTATGTAATGTGTTGGAATTGTGTCACTCCATATTGCACAGACAACGTTGGTGTATCACCTTGTTTTGATTGAAACTAATAGTCCATAAAGACATTTCCAACTACAACTAGGTTGATGGCCCACTATCCTGTAGTACTCATGCTTTTCATGGTGACTTAACACTCCATGTAGCAGAGAATGTTATTCTCATGTAGTTTAAAACGGGGACTAGGTAAATATAGTTACTCCTTATAATAAATTATATGAACATGTTTAAGTTACCCTATTTCCCTGAAAATACGATCTAACCTGAAAATAAGCCCTAGTATGATTAATAACTTATTTTAAATGAATGGATGGATGGAAGGAAGGATATAATTGCAACAGTATAGAATTATTTACTGAAAATGCCTTATTTCCAACTTAACTAGTTCTGGCAGGATCCATCAGAAGAAGGAAGTGAACAGACATTAAAGTGCTCTGCCTGATTTCCCCCGTTCTCCTCACCACCAGTACTTCTTGGGTAAGTAAGTGCAGAGGTCTTTCCCCTAAATTCTTTGTCCAAAGGGACAGAGACCAAACTTCAATATTAAAAGTATAAAGGACTTACCAAAACTGGTTTTGGCAAGTTGTCATTCTCACAAATGGCTGGGAGTGAAAGCCCAAAGAGCTTTCCTGATACGGGAGATGTTGGAGATGATTGTGCATTGTCCAGTGGAGAACCTGCTCCTCGCCAGAAGGCCCAATTTATAATGGATCTTCTCCTTTTAAATGGCTTTTGGTTCAACTCTGAGAGAAGAAAGAAATCTTTATTGAGAAAAAAAGCATACTACGTTTTTAAAAAAAACCCACAGTAACACACGTGTAAGAAGCCCCTTCTTCAGACGGCAGTCGATTGTAAAAAGCCTGCTTTGAGCAGAAAGGTCTTTGCCTGCTGGGGAATGGACCACAGTGAAGGTATCAAGCAGTACCCTCAGAAGAGAGTTCCATAGCCTAGAACTCTCTCATGCCCCCACTAAACCTGCCACTGAGGAAGGCAAGACAGAGGAGGGTCACCCTCCCGAAGACCTGCTTGTGCAAATAGTTGAGGTGATTCTCAAAGTAAGGAAAGGTACTTTATGAACACACCTGGCTCCAAGACAATGGATACTACCTCCTTTACTTTATTCACACTTTGTTATGCTCCTTAGTGGAGAAGGTCCAGGATTGAGGAGAGGTTTCGAAGAACCAGTTTTCTGATCATTGCCTTCTATTATACGGTGGGTGTGGGGGAGATAACTAACTCTCTCTCTGGATGTAGACTTTTCCAGAATCAAGCATTAGATTTGTTTTTAAAACAATGTCTTCTATGGACTGAAATGCCTATTCTACTGCAGACTAATTTTGTAAAAACAAAACCTTGTTTAAAGATCTTCTGGCCCACAAATTTGAGTTCAAGTACACTAGATGTAGGAAGAACAATTTATAATGCTAACAATGCAGTATCATAGGCACAGAGATTAAAATCCTGCACCACCATGAAGCTCACTAGTGCTCCAAGCCTGATCTCTTAACACTAAATTTCTGATGCTGAACTGCAACTTCCATCAGCCATGCCAAACACAGCCAATGATCAAAGATTGTGGGGAGTTTGTCCATAATGTCTCGATGGGCGTAGATTGGGGAGGGCTGCTCTAGTAAATCTCAGACTTTACTGTTGTCCGATGTCACTAAGTTACTTCAGATAATGGCAGGCCAATGAATCAGTGATCTCTGGAAGGTCATGATATTAACAGAACTACGGCACATCTCAGTCTAATCTACTTTATATATTCCTCTGGAGATAAAACTGGCGAACCCCATGTATGTCACACCCCATTTAAAACTGCATATATAAACAGTTCCATAGGTTTTTATTTAAATGCCACCCTCCAATGTACTATGGATTGCTCTCTTCCTTTTTTCCTTAATGCCTACCCTGCCTAGGAAAAACTTTCTAGATCCCTTTAACTCTTTTCAGTGGGACTATTACATTAGCTTTAGTAAAATACACTGAGACTTTGGCACTTTAATAAAAGCATATAATTTTGGAACCATACACAAGAACTCGGTGCACAGCCTGAAGAAGAAAATTATCACTAAAAGCTCGCTGTTTTTTATTTTGTTTTAGTAGTCTAATAACAGTATTAAATGTTCCTGCATTTGTATTGTTTTGGGGACCACATGGCCTTTTCTTGATTTTTTTAAGGAACAGTTTGTCAGCAGTGTGTGTCTGGGAGTGAGATGGGATGACAGAAGGTTCATGACCCTCATCCTATATTTTTATGAGGCCACTTAGACCTATCTTGCAGCCTATATTCATTGTTCTGTTTTCTAGCTAGATTTGCTACCCCATGTTCCTCAATCATAAAAGTTAAGGATGGCTTCCTGCAGGGCTCAAAAGCATAAGAAAAAGAAGAGGAAGGGGAAAAGGAGGGAGGGAGACAGAGAAGCCCAAGCCATGGAGTGCAGAACAGTTTCTGCTCCTGAAGCAGCAATACTATGAAAACAAACATGGTCGCCATAGGAACATAAGGGTTGTACCTAGCTAGCAGCCCTAGTTCCAAGAATGAAGCAGCTACTACTTGGTGGGAAGAACAGCCACTACTTATTATTTTTACACTGTTTTCCTAAAAGAACAAAGAAAGCTGCTTCCATTCTCCACAAAAGCATGCAATATGTTGAGCTATAGAGAATCACCTTCTTCAAAGTCTTGTTATCTGAACCTGATGCATGAACGGTGTTATTTAAGAAGGGTTCCTTTACCTCATCACAAAAAAATACTAACAGGACATATGGAAGGAATTTATTGAAGCTGCTTAGTATTTTACAGACTAAAAACTCAGTATTAAATAGCACCTGGAAATGGACCCACTTAAGGTGAGAGAAGGCAAATATTTCTAGCAATATAACTGGCACAAAACTGATCTATACAAAACTGCACCCAAAACCCCTCATAAAAGGTAAATTATTTTCAACTTTGTTGGGGACATCTAGATTCTTAGGCCTTTTCAAGGTCACACGTAATTTTTTTTCAAAAATAGCTATATTTATTAGATGCCTTCTGTAACAGGCAGCCCTGACCTCACCTGTCCGTCACCGCTGGAGCAGTGAGTCATCAACCAATGGTGTGACGGAGGGCGGAACTTAAGGGGAGGAGCTGGTGTATAAAGGGGGGTGTGAGAGAGAGATTGAGGAAATTGCTGACTGGAACTTAAGATAAGAGAATGAGCTGAGAGTTAAAGTGATCTTAGAGTCAGTGAGAAAGAGTCTGTGATAGCTAGTGCCTGAGAAACAGTGATTGATTGATTATTCCTTCAACAGTGATTTACCATTCCTTTCTGTTTGTAATCAATAAACCAAGTTTTTATTTTTGAAAGTTATACTGGCCTTATGTATGATATATTTATTAAGGAATGGTTGGTGGCAGTAAAGTGGAGTAAAGATTTTTAAAGTGACATGACGACCTTCCTTTGCGAGTCTTGAGGAAGGCCGTCACACCTTCCAACAAGACAATAATACGGTACTTCAGTTCAGAGAAACAGCATTCCCTTGTGTTTAAATCACAGTAGATGGTGCATCAAATTATGACAGTTAAAACACATCTACTGGATTGTGGAAGTATATGAGCGTCCTCTACCTACACTGATGCTTTTTAAAATTTACTTGAATTTTTTAGAGACAGAAAGCTTCCATACTGGTGCACTGAAATGAACCTTCTGCTTGGTTTCTTTTTTAAAATTTCATTCTTAAGTTCCATGCTCTCCTTTTCTTCATCATGTATGCACCAAACTTAAATACACACAGTTTCACCTTTGTACATCACAAAACAATTAAGTATCTCAAATGATCCAAAGGGGGTGGGGAGCTTTTGCTTACGTTTGGCAACTTTTATGCCTATTTTAAAAATCCCACATATTTTTTCTCTTCTTAAAACCTGAGATCAGTTTACTATGCCCTATTTCCTTGTAACAGATGGTTATTAATATACTTAGATGTACTGTAGTGAGGAAGTATCTCACATTAAAGGTTAACAACCTCAATACAGGTGATCTGGTCAAGAAATGAACGTCACAGGCATTTATCTATGAGGAACTGGAAAAAAAACTTTCCAAAAACCAGTAGAGGGCTTTTAGGCTGGATTAATTGGGTATATTTTGAAAGTTTTATTTTATTTTTATTTAAAAGTTCCTACTCTAGTTAATGTTAGCAAAGCCTGGGCATAATAAAATTATGGAGCCTCAGCAGGCAGAACCTATATAGTGATGACTTCTGTGAGTTCTGAGAAGTACAGTAAGGTAAAGAAAAGTAATGTTCTTTTCTGAAAACCACACAGAAGATATTTGCACTAACAACCAATAAAAAAATATCAATATCTCACTCTTATATGGGGAACACAGTAGTCTGTTATTGAAATCCTTGCTCAAATCAACACTTGCTTAGCTTTACCAATGAGTCAGGATTAGAGATGGGGGACAAAAAAAAAAAATTGATTCGTTTTGATCCGTTATTCGTCAAGGTTAATGGATCAGGTTAGGCATCCTTCAGTCGGAAAAAGCTTTCTATTTTTATATTCGTCCCCATCTCTAATCAGGATGTCTTAAATGAGCTTTATCATGGCTTCCTCAAAGAAATCATGCTGAATACTAGAGATCTTTTACCACAAAATATTTATTCCCAGTGCTTCAACTACTTAAAACAATCATGCAAGTTCTTAAGTTTCAAGTCCTAATTGTTTCAATGAAACCCCCCCAAATATCAGTGCAGCACATGTCCTAGTACTGCTTCTTATTACAGCACTGAGTACCTACAAGGGGGTGTTTCTGTAGCCATATAAACACTGGCAAGATAAAGACAGGAGAACAAGGCCCACATTTTTTTCAAGAAGCTGGCAGGAAATGCATGCTTAAATCAGACAGAAATAAAGGGGCATCGTATTAAAGAAATAAAGGGGCATGGTATTGCTGTGGCCAAACAGGGCAGGGTCTAGATGGAAGAAAATCAGTAGAGCATCAGAGAAGCATTACAAGAAGCTTAGATGTCTAACGCTTAAGTCAGGATCACTGCTATTACCATCCAAACATAAGAAAGGAGAGAAATGGAAAGTAATCTTTACAGAGGTCAGAAGAAGGACATAATTCTGAGACTGTGATGATTCCACAGAAGTACAGCTCACTGATCTACCCTGGTGCATTTTGCTGATGTCAAGCAGTAGGAAAGCAGGAATGCTGTAGTCACAAAGCCACTTAAAATCAGCAAACTGCATAGCAAGCAGAACATTGCTTTTTTGGACCACAACTCCCAGAATACTCTAGATATCATGGCCACTATTGACAAAGAACAGTTCCATGCCACTCATGAAACTATCCAAAAGTAACTTTTCTAAGCTCTGGTAGCAAGCAGTAAGGGAAAGAGGAGATGGCAGGCTGTGCAGCATGGGGGAAGGAGGAGGAAGGGGAGGAGCCCTCAAGTAGATTCTAATCCTGATTTACAGAGAGCTTTCCCGGGGCTTTCTGGGTATAAATTACTCATAAGTGGTTTAGAAGGCCCTCCTTCCAGCAGTGTTCTAGGACTGTGCACCTTGCTCAAGGGTGCACAAGTGGCTTGACACATGCCTCTATCAGCCATATGCACGCTAGGTGATCACAGCTGCCGCCTCACCAGGAAGATACAGTGGGAATGTCAACTACTGACTCCTTGTTTCACAGTCAAACATACCAATCCACCTTAGTATTGTAACTTGTCATTGGTTCTGGCTAACAAAAACAAGACAAAGCTGTACTCATGAAAGCATTGACAGCTGAAAAAAGGGGTTAGCACAAACCTTTCTGGACAGCTCGGAAAGCTTATTGCTCATCTGGTAGACATGCACACTGCTGGCCTTCCGACCTAAACCATGTCCAAGTAAGGGGAATACCAATTTGAATTGAAAACACCTTATGCCTTTTTGGATATACTCCAATGTTATCATAATCCACATCTGCACCAATATTTGTAAGCTTCTGCATCTCTGTGAAAAAGCCAATTTCCATGAATAGGAAAACACATATAGCCCGAAGAACATAGGGGAAAAAGAAGCTAGGGAACTTTGGCAGTAATATCACCACTCACACACACACAAAATGAGAAATTAAAAAGTGGTGGTAGCAAGAAAGAGAAACCCTATCATTCTGAAATGTAGTTCTGACCTAACCACATTAATGCCTCTATTTATTTGCGTGCATGCTCACATGTGTATGCGCGTGCACACAATAGAAAGGCTGAATGTGTGTGTTAACAAATTAACTAGGTTTGCCCTCACTTTGCACTGCAGCTAAGCAACCATGGGGAAGTGACCGATAGCAGTTTGGTGAACTGATATCAGAGGTCTTCCTGAGTGCCTCAGTTCTTGAAGTGTCAAAGAGGGGCTTTACACTTTATTGTGGGTTTCAGTTGCCAAACTCCTCTTCTGGCACCAACTCAATCTTCCTGATACTGTGTATTAGTTATGATTTTTCTTTCCTTCCTAAGAATGCTGGAATGAACGTGATGGATGCTCCATACCATCCTTTCATTTTTCTTTTTTAAAATTATGCTTTGTTGTAGCCCATCAAGAGGAAAGTAGAGATGTGAATTAATGATCCATTAAATACATCACAGGAATATGGGAAAATGTAAATAAGCCTTGAGAAATAATTGCTTATAAAATGAGGGGACAGCAGGACTCACGAAGAACAGGAGACCTTGTGAAGTAGAATTGTTCTGAATAAAATATCTAGTCCTAAACTATATATTTTGAAAGCGGCCCTTTTCCTTGCGAGTTTTGCCTTGTGTTCACATATAGGTTTTTATATAACAATAACATGATTTGCACACTTACTGGAGTAAGAAATTTATCTGAACTATTGTATGCCCTGTCATTTTTCTCTGCCTGTTCTCCAGACAGTTCACTTGGTACAATGCAAGAGTTAATCGAAAGAACACTCCTTGAACAAGCCTTCTGTGAGTGGAGAGACTAACCGTTCAGCTGATGGCTGGTGGCCAGGCGACTTGGCTTGAGAATGAACTGGCACTGAAGCTCACGGGGCAGCTGTTCCATCAGGAAGGCCCCCTGAAGGTCCAGAGGGCAGACACAATCCTTTGATCCCTGCATCTGAGGCAAAGTGTAACGAACGTGGCTCATTTTGATTCCAAACGGATATTCATGTCCTGCTCAGAGAAAAAAAGATGAGAATTTAATTTACACTGAAAGGAGAGAACAGGCAACAAAAGAGGACCCACCAAGGATGTCATAAAGATACTCATTCTCTAAAAAATGTATTATTTCAGTTGACTAAATATTCACGTGACTCACATTGTCTGCCTATCTGTATTTTATTTTCTCATTTCTCCTGTTAAAGATTCAAGAATCTTTCACCCTGGTTTTCTAAAACCATCACTAGATACTTCATATTCAGCATTTTAAAAATCTTTTCACTTCCTTGCTTGCTTTCTTGTTCAATTTCAGGAAGAAAGAGATGGACATAAAATCTTGGAATCTATAATATGCCATGCATATTAAGAGTGCTGCTGGATCATAACAAAGGCCCATCAGCATTTTGTTCACACAGGATCAGTTAGATGGCATTAAGTAGGACATCAGGGCAACAGCATCGACTTGCTCAGTTTTGCCATCAGCCTGCATTAAGAGGCATACACAATGCATTCTCGCCAGTATTTAAGGAAACGTACATCTATCATGATTGGTTGCCACCTTGCACGATTTTACAAATCTCTATTCCATCTCCACAGTTACTTCCCTTTTTTAAGCTAAATTCTTCATGAGGAAATTGCTTCAGACCTTCGGTCAATTAGTTAGCCTTTTTTGGATCCTATCACTGATATATACATTTAGATACAAGCCAACCAAAGATGTGCAGTACTATGTAAAAACTTGAATCAGCAGCATGCAACCATGGAAGGCTGTTAGGAGAGGGGCCCAGACCTGTTCTAATGTTAATTAGTAAAGGTGGGCATCATATAAACTGATTTCCATCTTCAGAACAACAAAGACTAGAAATTAGTGGTTGCCCTTAATTTTTATTAAGATACTGCACACTATTCTTGATTTTAATGCTTTCTATTCCAAATATAAAATATAATAAATAACAGCACAGTTCAGATACCACAAAAGCCAGGCTTCCAGAGATCGAGTGTGGTTTGTTTGTTTGTTTGTTTGTTTATTGTATTTATACCCCACCTATCTAGTCATTTCGACCACTCTAGGCGGCTTACGACTAAATAGTGGTCAGAATGATGAATTTTGGATTTGGGAAATACAGTTTTTAGTTCTCACTGGGCTATGAAATTCACTGGGTGAGCCTGAAACAGTCTCTCTGCCTGCACCTCTCAGTCTGACTGATTTCATTGTGTTCTTCTGGAGATAAATTGAGGACAAGGACCACATACACAACCTTGAGTTACTGAAGGAAATGTAGCTAATAAATAAATACATAAGATCCAGCAAGCATGCTTGTGCAATGCTATCTGGTCACCTCTACCACCAATCTGACCCCGAACTTGATTACTGACCAAAGATATTCCATCCTTTATTTGTTTTCTGTGAAACCCAACCCAGAAAATAAAGAGTTCTGACACCCTGTGAAATGAAGGCTTATCAGGAACCTATCTGGCTTACATCAACATAGACCATTAGTCCATCAGCAGTGCCCCAGTATTGTAACTTTGGCAATACCTCCTCAGGGTTTGAGACAGGATTCTTTCCTATCTCCACCTTAGGAGTTCTGGCATTGAAGAGCAAGAAGCAACTGCACTGAAAGTGTGTTTCAATTAAAGAACTTTCTTCCCCTTGAGATTCTGAGCCTGTAGATTTTCTGGAAGAGCTAAAAAAAATCTCTTTCTTCAGCTAGCCTGATTTACTAACTGGTGGTACTACTACTACTACTACTACTACTACCACCACCATCACCACCACCACCAACACCACCAACACCACCAACAACAACATATAAGACAGTAAGCTTTTGGTTTGTACGTCAATAGTTTTGCGCTAGTGTGTTTTGTTGTTGAGCTGTTGATACTCAACTGAATCCTTGGAAAAGAACAGAAGAGAAAATGAATGAAACAACATAAATGGGACTATACTACTGTACTAGAAACTTACCAATAAGGGGATATGGAGCATCTTCTTTTCCAGAATTCACCCATAGCTGATAATCCTTTTCAGAACCCTTTAAAAATACAATTGCACAGGTCTTAGCAGGAATCAGAACCTGATTTTCTTACCACTGTGAATTAAAACAGGCCCTGAGCACAACTGTCACACATTTCAGAAGACGCCACCTACTCAAAACAGAATTCAAATGGCACAATATATAGATCATTATATCCTTTACAAGGGCACACCCTTTCGCAAGTATTCTACACATACCCGAATTTTGATCTGACATGAGTGTATAAGAGTGGTGGGCTGAGCTGCATTTCAGTTGTTATTTCAAAAGAAACTACAGACCCTGGTATCACAGTCTGGCTGTGAAGTGAAAAGGGGGTTGGGAAAAAATAAAAATAAATGAACTGTGGCATTTTCGAGTTATGCATTTTATTTCTACTTCATACTCCTAAACCGCTTTTACAAAAAAAAAATCAAATCAAACCTAGATGGAATATACGACAGAAAACTCTTTTTGCAAACAAATATTTTCACACAGCCAAATTCTAATGGCAACAACAAGAGACAGAGGTACTACTAGTTACTAAGAAGACAATAATAATAAAAAAATTAGTATCTTACATTAATTCCAAGCTGCTGCAAGGCCAAGAGAATCACATTATTTGCTGTGTCCATGTGGGTTACAGTTAAGGTTTTTGACTGTTGCAAAGAAAAAAATGGGAGGGAATGAAGACTAGAAGTTCTAGACTTTTAAAACAATAAACACTATACAAAATTTGGATTTTTAAAAGCACAAACTGTAAAACTCAATCTTTGGTGTTTATAGCTACGTTTTAGCTAATACAGCATCATGTAGTACAATTGCACAGGAAGTAAATCCACATCAGCATAGTTTTTACTCTCTGTCTCTTCTCTATCAAGATTATGTTTTATGTGACACGCTAGTTCATCTGACACACCGGCCACATTTGAACAAGCACCATCCCCAGCGCCAGGGCTTGAAATATTCCTCACATCTTTCTCTTGCTTCCTTCAATGGAGCTAAAGTAGAAATCTGGGCATTTTTGCTTTCACCTCTCTTTATTCAGTTTTGTGTTTGTTATTAGATGTCATGCTAGCTTGTTGAAATTAGGCACAGAAAGCATTAAAGTCAGGAAACTCAAGGGACCTGCATTCAAATCCCCACTTGGCCATGGTGTGGTGGCAGCAATGGTGCCCTACGCCTTGAACATCTTACCTACATAAAAAATCTAACTAGGGTTGTCTTACGTCAGGACTGACATGACAACAATAAGTGTTAAGTACATTTCCTTCTTTGTTATCACACAGGATGCTGAAGGCAAATAAGAGGAAGCAGAAGCTTCTAAATTCCGTCTCTGAGCTTCAAGAAAAAAAAATCAGGGGAAGAGCAAATATAGGAACCAGAGGATTTTTGCAGTTTCCCTATGGCATGCAAACCATATACTGTAACATGTCACACAGCAAGTCCAACCATCTCAGTGTCATTTTAGAGAAGACCCTAACCGGAGCAATCCTAAGAGTGGGTCTGTATGTGCAGAAACTTAACTATAGCTCTTAAGAGAAGATGCCATGAGCGACTTAAAAGAAATAGAAATATCTCATTCTTTTTTCTGTCTCCTACAGAACTTGTGCTCGTAAATTTGCAAATTGAACATAGTGTCTTCAGCGCTAGGTATGACAATCACAACATCTGTAGTACACAAGTAAGAGCTTCATAGAAAGCACTGGATTTTTAAAAATAATCTTCCATCTGTCGTTCTATTGTCTTATCAACAATGCCATCTTACAGAGTGTACATTATTTTTTAAAATGAATGCATTTGTGCTATCATTACTTTAAAAAGGTAATAAATGTATCAATGTGCATTCCTTAATTTTTACACATTACTTTTAAATCAATTTTAAATCTCCCATGTTAATAAATACATAAAATCCCAGTATAATTTGTAAAATTGGTAGCAGAACCTCCAGATCACAAAAACCTGTGCCAAGCCAGTTTGCTCTCTGCAAAAGATATTCCTTGTTCCTGAGCCACTGAAAATTATAAACTGTCAAAAAAAAAAGACCCAAAACACTGAACTGAAGGAGCACAAATGAAGTCTATTTCTGCCTGAGGATATGGCTGAATAATCATAACATAAACAAAAAGAATTAACGTTTCCCCAAAGCAGTGACATCTGGCACCCAGGAGTAGGTCAATACATTTGCATAAGGCTTGCCCGTGGCTAGAATATAATAAAATCATTTGTACTGCATATGCCTCATCTCTCACTAACCCTAACTTGCAGGAAATGAAACAATTCCCTGAGAGCTCCAACTGCTGTAGCAGACAAAGGAGCAAAGCTTCATAGAAAGTATACAGATTTTTAGGAAGCCTCCATCTGCCACTCTACTGCCGTGTCAGTGCAATACTGGCACGACTGTGGTGTAATTCAAGGATGACCAACCTTGAGGAGCTCCAAGTGTCTTGGATATATAGGTTCTGTACTATGGCACAATTTACACGCACACGTTTGGCAAATGCTGTTCTTAAGCCACCTCCACTACGCTAGCTTCAGTTTATTCAAAACAGTGCTCTTCCCCTTTGTTTGGCAAACAGATCTACTGATGCTGATTAAAGCGCTTGGGAAAGTTACTTGTTTTAAATACAACCCCCAGAATCCTCTGCTAGCATGGTAGCATACCATGCAACATCTGAATGTTCACAGTTGTCTGCAGGCAAAGTCATCAGTGTTGAATTTACGGACTCCTCATTCAAATTATGACTTAGAAACACTTACATATGCACAGTTTCCAATGTCCTTTGCAATGATCTTCAGGGGAATGCTCTTGGGATAGTCTTTTGCCTTCTCTTCCTTGATTCGGCTATCAAAGCAAGCAGAAATGGGATTTCTTTAAAAGTACATTTAAAAAAGAGAATACCACAGGTCAATGTATTATGCTGATTTCACTCTATGGCAGCAAAATTAACAACTAGCTGAAAGCAAAGGTAGCCAAAGAGGTTTCTTATGAGACTACTCTTAAAATGAAAAGCATTTTTCTACAATTAGTTTGATTATCCCCTTCAAATAGCTGAATTTTGTTTACAAATAATGAAATTTCATTCAGCAAAGATTTGATTTTATTCAGCTACTCACCTCAGCTATAGGTTAAACACTCCTTTGACTAGATGGGGTACAGCCAGAAATGTTTCTAGTTTTTCTTTAGCACAAAACAGTGTAAGATTTAAAACATTATAAAATATAATACAGAAAAAAAATAAGTACCTTTCAAGGGAAGTGAGCCATTTCTCTTTCTGTTCTATGGAACTGAAATAGATAAAAAAGCCTCATTAAATGTCAACAAGATAGTAAAAAGAAAGGGGGGTCTAGAACACAGGTGAAAGACATAGGTGATTTTTTAAAAAAATCTTTCAATTTTTTTTAAATTATCAAAAATGTGACTTTTAATTGTTTAAATTTTTTTAAATTAAATCTTCTCTGATGCAAAGGGGATTTCAGTTATAGCACCCAAGAACTAGAACAGTCTTCCAGAAATATCTACTGGATCTTCTCTTGCAGGTTATGATCCTTGAATTGATTTAGGCTGTTTAGTTTTGCTGTCTTCTAGTTTCACTGTTACCTTGCTTTTGTTTGTGTACGCCTACATTTTTTATTGGAAGCCACTATGAATATTTTTTAAAAAGGTAGAGTATGAATGTCAAAAAATATTTTAAAATATGATGGTCACTGTGCACATTGTATCAAATAGTATTCAGGCTAGCCATCTTCAGTCTATTTCGTATATGGTGTACAATTTTCCATTAAGGAGAAATCTTGACAACAGGCCTAACTTTCAATTAAAATCAAGGTAGGGAAAGTGCAGCCCTCCAGATGTTACTGAAATTACAACTCCTACAAGCCTTCTCCAGCAAAATCAACAGGGAGGAATGACTAGAACTGCAGTCTAATAACACTGGGGTGACAAAAATAGTCAACCATGGCCTCAAAAGTATCCCAGGTGCTCCACACATCTTCCATTACAAAAAAAAATTGTTTAGATCAGAAAGTCGCCCTATACCAGCAATGGCGGACCTATGGCACACATGCCTAGACCTCTGTACCCACACATCTTCCATTAGAAAAAAACTTGTTTAGATCAGAAAGTCACCCTATACCAGCAATGGCGGACCTATGGCACACATGCGAGAGCTGGCATACCGAGCCTTCTCTGTAGGCACGGGAGCCATAAGTCACCGGATTGCTGCCTTCTCTGTGGGCACGCGAGGCATAAGTCGCCGGATCGCTACCCCCTGCAGCCAAACCTGAGAAGGCAGCTGCAGCCGTGGTGTTAGCGCCCCGACAGGGGGTTGGCACGATTGGAGTGCACCCTCCATGCCCAGGATTCCACCTTCCACTGCCACTCCCCTTTCCGCCGCTGCCAGCCGGGTGTCATCCTTCACCTCCCCAACACATTCAGTTTAGGCACTTGGACCCAAAAAGGTTCGCTGTCACTGCCCTATACGCTATACAGGTCTTGAGAGATAATTTTGCCCACCCCCCCCCCAACATGGACCATTCCTGCCCTCAGATTGCAATTTTTTAAAAAAGCAGTCAATTGAGAGGGTTTTTTTCCCATTTAAAATGATCTGATTTCTTTCTTTGACAAATATTGACATGGGCAGGGAACAGGAATGGGACTGAGTGCTGCCCTCCAACGGGCAGGGGATGGGCGCATGTGGCCCTTGGACTTCTGGAGGTTGCCCAGCCCAGTCTAGGGACCAGAGTCCTATCCTGCATCTGAGCTGTACATAAATTAAACCAATTGCTTCAAAACTGCCTTTTCAAAACAAAAATCTGGGAGACACTACTCACTCTAGGGTGTTTCTATCCACATAATAATTCTCTCTAAATACTGCAATCTTCTGCATCATACCCATTCTGTACTGCCGGATAGGTGCAGTTGTTGGGGAGGAGACGGGCAGCTTAAGTGGGTGGGTGGGTTGGCAAAAACAAATCACTCCAATTTGTGTGGCTGTATGTGACTCCCATGAAGGCAGAGGAACCACCAAAGACAACCACAATACCAAAATTCCATTTGTTATAGAAGCTATGAATCCGTCTCCCTTTCATGTCAACAGGAGAACATTCACTGGTTTTTAAGAAATAGGTTTGCATACAAGACAATTCTTCAACTTTTACGGCTCAATAAATGCAGTAAATGAGCAAGTAAGGTAAACAATCTCTTATACCTGAAACTAGCAACACAGTTGGTAGTGGGCCATCCTAAAACAAAAGACCTCTCCAGATTAGTGCTGCCCTCACAGACCTCTTCCATGCAGGATGCGGTCCACATTTCAGAGAGACGTGCCTGGCTCTTCAATTTGAAATGCAATTGTGATCTGCAGTTGAAAGACATCTATTATAGTATATCAGTAACAACTGAGAGTTAGAAATAAGTATAACATTAGCAAAAAATTCAATAATCTCAATCCTATAAAACAGTTAATCTTATCACTGCTATAAACAGAAGCTGCAATTTAGATAAAAATCCCAAACTACTAGATAGGTTGCTACTTGCTTGTTGGACCAGTTTCTCCTGGTAAAATTAACTGTCACCAATCATAATCTAAGAAGCAAAGGAAATGAAAGAGGAAAATGGACAAGAACCCAATGGGCACTTGGAACAGATATGTTTGAACTATAAACCTTCAGAATTCTCAGCAAGCTGTACTCCCAGTACCAATTTCACTCAAGTAGAATCTAAAAGGGGAAGTTAGGATTACAAGCATCTACTCAGTGGGGTAGATAGTATGACATTCCTTCTTCAGAATAATTCAAACTCACAAAAGAACTAGAACATGGGCCACATCCTGCTATTTTGGTCTCAAATGTGAAAGCATTTGACCCTTATGTATTTCAAAGGACTGACCCAGATTTATGATGCTCCAATTTTTCCAAAGCTTTTCACATCTAGTCCATTAACAGCTGTGACTGGATGCTGTGCTGCAGAGGAACTGGCACCAAACCAAATACCCACAGATGTAAACACAAGCTCTGGACACAATTCACTGGCAACTGTTTCCTTCATGAAAACCACTGGCATGAATGGGAGAGAATGTTCTATCACACAGCTGTTCTATTATACAATATCTCTGAATTCTATTATTTGCCCAAGCATTCCAAACAGATGTGTATTCTGCTAACTATACTTCCACATTCCCCGCCGTATCTCCTCTTTCCATTCAGAATTTGAATATTTAACTGGTTATGGGGAGAAATTCCCAGGGATAAAAAACATGAAACAAGAGAATCCTGTGTTTACATTTCATAATAATACAATTTGTTCAGTCAGCATGCTATGGCACAACTCTGTTGTGCTTCCTATTTGGTGTTTCGATGAGAGGGACAAAGCACAAGCTCAGGCAGGACTACATGTGGCTTATGGACCTTAGGGAGAGTGAAGAAGCACACAGAAACCCCCAGAGAAAAAGCCAAATAATTAATGTCTCATCACACATCAAGGAAGAATCAAGTCACAAGTTGAAACAAAGATGGAGCTGTCATTTTCAAGTGTTTCTCTAGAGCTTGAGTGGACTCCAGGCACCATTTTTGCCCTGTATTAAGGGCCATATACATTCATTCATTCATTCATTCATTCATTCATTCATTCATTCATTCATTCATTCATTCATTTATTTGATTTGATTTTTACCCCGCCCCTCTAGACCATGTCTACTCGGGGCGGTTTACATAGATAAAACAGAACAATATAAAATATAAAATATATAAAATTATACAATTACAATTGAACACTTAATTTGAAGATTACCAAGATGGCATGGCATAAAGGGGGAGAACCACCATCTCCTCACAAACACTCTCCACATAATATTTTGGTACCCCCCAAAGATAAATCATGTCCCTCTGAAGCCTCTGAGGAACATGATTTCCCCGTAAAGCCATTTTAACCCTTTTCAGAGTTTATTTTAGGCACTGAAAGTCCCCCCCCACTTTTTTTTTTTTTTTTACAAATAGGAAATGACTGGCCAGTCATTACTTATTTTTTTAAAAAGACCTAAAGCAGGTCCCAGAAGAGGCAAAAAAAAAAAAGGGTTTGCAAAGCAAACTGCATCCTCATTCAGAGAGGTGCATTTTACCCACTGAGATGGGTCTATATGTTAGCTTGTTCTTCTATTAGAATTGTCTTCATTTTCTCTTTTTCTGAATGTTATTCTTTTTTCCTCACAAAACTACAAAACTCGTTATACACTGACAGTAAGAGCAGGGAAGACACAATGCAAAATGTGAACAACTCAAGCCCTCTGAATAGGAAGTTTGTCCTTTGTATGCTAAAAGAAAGAGGAAAGGCCTGGCCTAAAAATACAGCCTTCACTTTCTGCTTGGCAGTGCAGGATGTATACTTTGAGTTCTCTAGTCTTTGCTCCTAACAAAGCCTTGCCTTTCTGAACAGTGTTGTTGTTGAGTTTCTCACTTGGTAAGTGGATTACTGCCTGAGATTGGAAGGTCTTGTGTAAAAGTGGGTCAGCCTAAAAAAGGGAAGCTTAACATGAATCTAAAAGCTCCAGGACACAGAGAGAGGAAAGGTATCTTGAAGGATGTAAATTAAAGAAAAATGCCCAACTCATAAAATGACAACTATGAAGAATACACATGTTTTGCACTGGAAATAATCTAAAGAAAACCTTTATCTGAAACACTCTGACTTCAGTATAAATTATAGATATATGTAGCTAGAACAACATCTCGCATTGATGCAGCTACAGAATTTAACATTAAGAATCCTTGTTGCCATGTCAATACTGTATTAAAAACACATGAATCATATTTCATATAGAAAAATGTTAAAATTCTTAGTGAAATAAAAAATAATCTGTGCTGTCAATTGGCCAAAATCCTGTTACATAACAGTGAATTGGACTAGAATAGGTTCACTGAATCAACTTTAGTAAATCAATTCCTCTCTAAGATCTATTGTTTCAAATGGATGTAGTCTACATAACTAGGACTTACTATGCTAGGTCCATTTGAATCAATAGAACTTACAGAGGAGTGGATTCACCAAGTCCCCACTGATTTAATGGGCATACTCTAGTGTGATTTACTACACTAAATAATAGGATTTTGCCAAGCATGTAGTCTTTGATGCTCAATCCACAGAGTCTGCAATTGATCACATTCTTAAGATCGGAATGGAGAGGCTGCAAATATTCAGACCAGAATTTGCAGATACCAGACAGTTTCTTTTAACAGGCAGTCAAAGGTTGCTGGGAAGAAAAAATAATATGTATTATCGAAGGCTTTCATGGCTGGGATCTGATGGTTGTTGTGGGTTTTTTGGGCTCTTTGGCCATGTTCTGAATGTTGTTCTTTCTAACGTTTCACCAGTCTCTGTGGTCGGCATCTTCAGAGGACAGGAGTCAGAACTCTGTCTGTGCTCTGGTGCAGTTTGTTTGGATAGTTGAGTACAGTGGTGCCTCGCTTAACGGGTGCTCCGTTTAGCGATGAAATCGCATAGCGACGAAGATTTTGCAATCGCAAAAGCGATCGCATTGCGATGTTTCCTATGCGTTTTTTCCGCTTTGCGGTGATCGGTTCCCTGTTTTGCTTACCGATCATCGCAAAACGAATATTTTTAACAGCTGATTGGTGGTTCCATAATGGCCGCCAGGTTAAAAAAAAAAGGCCGCCCGCTGTGTTTTTGCACGGATTCCTCGCTTAAGAGGCAGCGAAAATGGCCGCCATATGAAGGATCTTCGCTTTAAGGTAATTTTTTGCCCATAGGAACGCATTAAACAGGTTTTAATCCGTTTCTATGGGCTTTTTAAAATCGCATACTGTATTTATAGCTCTGGGATCAGCTTTTCTCCTTTTCAGAAGACGGGTGATTGTGGTGATCAGCGTCTTTTTTGTTATGGGTATATTGGTGTGATAACAGGGAGAGATTATCTGTCACTGTGATTGATGGTATTTTTTGGCCATAGGAACGCATTAAACAGGTTTTAATCCGTTTCTATGGGCTTTTTAAAATCGCATACTGTATTTATAGCTCTGGGATCAGCTTTTCTCCTTTTCAGAAGACGGGTGATTGTGGTGATCAGCGTCTTTTTTGTTATGGGTATATTGGTGTGATAACAGGGAGAGATTATCTGTCACTGTGATTGATGGGCATCATTGTCGTTTGTGTGCAGTGATCACCCATCCTTGTAGCTGGGTAGAGTTCATTGACCTTTTGCAGGCTGTATTTTTCAGTGCTAGGAGCCAGGCTTTGTTGAGTTTTAAACTTTCTTCTTTTTTGTTGAAGTTCTGCTGGTGTTTGTGGATTTCAATGGCTTCCCTGTGCAGTCTAACATAATGATTGCTGGTATTGTCCAGTACTTCAGTATTTTGAAATAGAATTTCATGTCCAGCTTGTTTTAGGGCATGTTCAGCTACTGCTGATTTTTCCGGTTGTTTTAGTCTGCAGTGTCTCTCATGTTCTTTGATTCTGGTGTGCATGCTGCATTTTATGGTTCCAATATAAACTTGGCCACAACTGCAAGGTATTTGGTATACTCCTGAAGTGGTGAGGGGGTCCCTTTTGTCCTTTGTTGACTGTAACATTTCTTGCATTTTTGTATAAATAATATACCCCTCTCCTCATTTTTTGATAGCCAACATGGTTCTTGAAGCCCTAAACTAGAATTGCATGATCCAGGATCAAGTTCTCCCCGCACTCAGCCATCAAAATGGACTAAGTATTCTGTTACTCACTGTCAGCCTAACCTATTCTGTAGAGATGTCATAATAATAAAAATAGGGAGTTCCAGAAAAATATCTACTTCTGCTTCATTGACTATGCAAAAGCATGGCAGAAAGTGAGGACTTAAAGAACCTCTTAATGAGGGTGAAAGAGGAGAACGCAAAAAATGCTCTGAAGCTCAACATAAAAAAAACCAAGATCCTGGCCACTGGTCCCATCACGTCCTGGCAAATAGAAGGGGAAGATATGGAGGCAGTGACAGATTTTACTTTCTTGGGCTCCATCATCACTGCAGATCGTGACAGCAGCCACAAAATTCAAAGATGCCTGCTTCTTGGAAGGAAAGCAATGAGAAACCTAGACAGCACCTTAAAAAGCCCCCCTTCCCCCCTCGCCTTAATTCAGTTTCTCTTTTGCTTGACTGCCTGTTAATTTTCAGTTTTGAGTCAGTCTGTCTCTCTCTCTCACACGCACACTCCATTTCCTCCCTCCCTCCATTTTCTCCCTCCATTTTCTCCAATTACATACATTTAAATAAGCCTGATGAAGTCCTCGGTCTCTTGCACCTTTCTTTCTTTCTTCCCTCCTTCCCTTGCTTGCTCCTTTCCCTCCTGCTGCTTCTTTGCAGTCACTTCCGGAGGAAGCAGTCATTCAGAAGCCCCGGATTGGCTGATTGCCTGGGGCTAATCCCCAGCTGTAACCTATTAGGGAAGCTTATCTCCCCGATCTCTGAACAAACGGAGCATTTAGAAGTCCCCTGCTGCAAGGAAGTAACAGGACGAGGGGGTTTACAATTTGAGCTTGGCTGCAGGGGGTGGGGGTGGGAGAGAGGGAGGGGGTAGCACTCTGCTCATTACCCCCAGGATTTTCACTTTTACCCCACTTGGGGTAATTTACCCCTGTTCCCCGACCCATGTTTTAGATGGTGATGGAGGAAAGAGTGGTGATCCTGTTTTAAATTTTTATCAATGGAGTGAAAGCTGGGAAGAGTTTGAAAACAACGTATGCTTTGTAAACTTTTCATCTAGGACCAAACCCCGCTTGTGCTTCCTCCCTGTAAGTGAAGGGGGGGAGGTAACTAGTTTGCTGATCCAGTTCAGCCCACAAAGATGCAGGGAAGGTCTGGAAGATGTACCATCTTTGGTACATACTCCAGACATTCTGGAGGGAGGACAGTACAAGGCAGCAAGCATAAGGAAATTGTACTATTTCTCTCTACTAAATGGAGACACAAATATCTCTGTTGTGTTTATTGCTATACTCCTAAATTCCACCTTCATTTCCATCCTACTCACATGCTTGCCAGCCAAAAAAACTTTGCAGTACTGAAATGCACCAAAGCAGTTGAAGTTCTGGGAAAGAAGAAAGGGCCATCAAACCAGTTGTGTTCCAGACAACCAGCTGTTCTGGTTGTTGTCATGAATTCTGTACATTGACAATTGATCAGTAGTAGGAAGAAAATAAATTTATTCTTATTTACGAGTCATCTGAGAACACAGATTGGGTGCCTGTATTTATACTGTTTAATGAAAAAGTTTGTGAAAATGTTGCAATGTATGGTAAGCATATGTAGAATATTTTGCCTTCCTTGTGTTTTTACATTAAATTAAATATGTCTGGAAGATGCTCCTAAACAGAAGGTGATAGCACCAAGGAATCTGGGTGAGCTGTTTGAGTTCAGTCAGGCTTAATGCTGAGCTTGGATTGTTCACTCAACCATTCACAATTAAATCAAACTTACAAGCTGGAGCTCTCGCATGCTAACCACATGGAGCACTTGTAGCTTCGGGCAAACCTTGAAGGTTCTTTCACATACAATTATACATGAAGGAGAAGCTAAGAAGAGGGGGGCACTGAAGCTTTTTCCTTTGTTAGATAAGGGTGTCATGAGTTGGATCCCTTAAATGTGTATGTTGACCAGTGCACCTCGTCTCCTGCTTGAAAAAATATTATATAGATAGCTGGGGTGGCCAATATAAACATGATCTCTCCATGATAATGTGAAGGACAATTAACATCACACAATCTGTATACAAACTTCCAAGAAGTGTCTGGCTGATTGTTATAATATATATAGGTTGAAATTCTATTTGCTGAGCTAGGCTGATGGTATTATTAGCAGCAGTGTTATTTGACAAATAAAAAATTTCTAATTCTCTCTCCCACACCCCAAGGTCTCAAGGCTGCTGTAGGATCCCCTTAGTCATGGGGATGGGCACTAGGGACTGTAGACCATGATGGCATCTTTAATTTCTGAAAATCGCCAGTGGCTCCTAATGGCTTCCCCACACCAAAAAAGGAGGCTCGGGACCTTTGGGGTGTGTGTGAGGTGGAGTAACTTTTTTATTTCCCAACAATTGTCACAGATGATGACATCATCAGCCTTATACAGTGTAAATTACAGATCAGCTATCACTGGGTAACACAGGTTCTTGATCTGCTCCAATAATCTAGCCATCATTGATGGTTGCTTGCAGCATATCTGACATATGCTGAAACTGGGTTGTGCTGTTATAAAATGAAATAGGTTACATATACAACCACTTCTGCTAAGCTCTACACAAATTTGACATATATTTTCCTGACATATGAAAAACAAGATCACAAATTATGTACAAGATTATCCATGGCCTCCATTCTTCAATCTACTCCAATTGCCTCAGTTGTGGTCAATACTGGTTAGAAGAGACTAAATCCTTAGCTAATCAGAGTTTGTAATCAAATTCATGGCAACAATCCTGGTTCAGCAGGGAACTGGATAAACCTTGGTGGTAATGGTGCCAAAACAATGCTTTTAAATCATGGTTAAATCGGGTCCATGTGTGGCTGTGAAGGTGATTCTTCCTTGAAAAGAGAAGATAAAGCACACAATAATATAACGAACTGACTCCCAATTTATTCATTGCAGTTAAGTCTGCTATGAACCTGAAACTAAAAATGGAAGTCTTCTAAAGCCTTAGAAATAAATGCCCATGATTATCCACTTAAGTCAGGTATCTCGGTTCTTACCTGCTTTCTTATCTGGCTTTCAAATGTGACATTAAGCATTTTAATACCATTATACAAAGTGACTTCTATGAAGTTTTCCATTCAGACCCTTTAATAGCATTTGTAGTGAAATGGGGGCAAGATAAACTTCCATTAAGACAGCATAACCAATAAGCTGAAGTCTCTGTTCAGTTCAGCTATAAATGCATTGAAATCACTGAGGTGAGCCCTTAAGGAAGAATCATGAAGCCCAAAGCAGATTTCCAGGAAAAAGAGATAAGTTAGCAGAACTGTGAGATTTCCTTCTCTTTTCTGTCGAGGTTTTCTCATGGATGGAAAGTAGGTGGGAAGCGAGAAATAAGTTAGCAGAACTGTGAGATTTCCTTCTCTTTTCTGTCGAGGTTTTCTCATGGATGGAAAGTAGGTGGGAAGCGAGAAATACTATAAACACAGATGATGGCAGTCTATCCTAAAGGAATCTGTCAACGAGTGCCTGGTAATCTGTCCTGACATAAACAGGTTGGAAGTGCTGACATATTTGTACTAATATTAAAAAATACAATATACACTGACAGCCCAATAATGAAGCTTAGTCTAGTCACAAAACCATCACAACTCCATGAAAACCTATCAATTTCTGCTAGCTTAATTCTTCAACAACCCAAGCTTAACATGTGCTCACTACTGTCTATTCACAGTAGATTCTCTGTGGTTCAAATCTGAAAAGGGTTAACCATGAGTAAGTCATATTGGAGGAATGCTGAACTGAAGCTACACTAAAAAATAAGAAAAGAGACATTGACTGTGGCAGTGTAAGTTTCCCATCAGGATGATTCACGAAAGACTTGTTTTTTAAAATTCGTCACTGCACTTACTTTGGCTTAGCTACCACAAGGATATCAGTGAAGAGGAAAAGGTGCCGTTCCTGGGTCTGCAGGCCCGCCTTTAGTTGTACATGGGCTTCCAGAAGGAGTGTTCTGGTGGGGCAGAGGAAGGACTGAACCAGCGGACAGGCCTCTGGACTAATAGGGGAGAAGCAGCCATCCCTGTAGAAAGAACAAAGCAAAATACTGTAATAGGAAGATGTTGAGAATCAAACGGAAGAATTGTTTCTCGGTACTTGGGAGTCCTCTGTTGTTTTGGTCTTTCACAGTATTTTATTCACCCAACATATATCAATCTAAATTATTACAAGACAGATCCTGGGACCTAATGACATAACACCCGGTAACCAAACACTCAGTGATTACAATGACATGCTTAATAAAGTGCAAATTTCCATCAAACTATCCACATAACTACAATCTGAAGGGGAAATGACATGTCGGAATTTGAAATTTAGCTGAAAAATGAATGATCTTCTTCCAACTCCTTCAAAATGACTTTTGCATTTCACAGATTTTTCCCCCCATCCTCAAAACACCCCATCTCAAAGTAAATTGTACCTTTGGGACCCATCACTCAGATTCTCATTGTCTAAATATCATCAAAGTTTTTATTTAATTGCTATCCTTGATACATAGGGTCAAAAGTTTATCACTGGAAAAGCAGTTTGCGGGCCCAGCTTTCCTTTGCACTTCTCCCTCTACTTAAAAAAAATATATCTCCCTATGTGCTGCTCGCCCAATCAAGCTTAGTAGAATGGCAGCAGTGGGAACAGCTGGCCTTCCAAAAAAAAAAAAATCTGCAGGGCGATTGCTTGGCAGAAAGGTTCACATTGTGTCTAGATGCTTCCTGGCTTCACCATCCAAGCATTTGTTATGACCCTTGCTGAGTGCAGCTGGAGTTTTCAGAAGAGTCTAAAATAAATGCTGACTTGGGAAACTCTGACAGCTGGTGCTGGAAGGACATGAACTTCAGTATGAGCATGACTCACTTTCACTGTTAGGCAGCAGCTATCTGCAGACTTCTTGTGACTCAAGTCAGAGTCCAGATTTATCCGTCATGCTGCGTGTAAAACATGCTGTTACTGTTCCTGAATTCCGACCAAAGGCCCTCATTTTTATGTTGCTGAATCTGAATCAGATACAGATAAAAAATTTGATGGGGATCTATCCTCAGCTACCTCTTAAAGCTGCTGTCAGATGTATGCCCCAGCCAATGGGTTTAACTCCCCCAAGCAAAGAACAAGTAAAACATGGAAAAATGTTTTATGGAAACCATATACCCCAGATTCCCCCATCTAGCATGGCTGATTTTATACTTCAGTATAGTAACTCTTCAGGCTTTGCAAATGACACGGTCAAAATGAGCTGGAAGCAAGAGATACTATCAAAATCTGGTTTTCACCTAACCTTCTTTGATACCAGGATGATTATCTTAATAAGAAGGACAGGGGCTGTTGCTCCTAATTGAGATGACCTGTAGAACTTTTACAAGCTTTGTGTATGAGAGACACTCAGGTCTCCACGAATGCTCAAGCAAGAGATCCTTCAATAAAGTCAGCAATTATTTTATTATGAAACAGCTTTCCCCTGAATAGTGACTATTCCCTACTGTCCAAGCACCAGAGGATATAAGGGGTAATCATAGGTCACATTAAGTCAACAGAGAAGCCAAGCCAATGCCTTAACCAAATTGCCTGTACAATCAAGAATACACCCCAAGTGATGCTATGTTTCTAGTCTGGGGATTTCCTGGGACATAAAGGCTATGTTTTGAAATGACCTGGTAAATTTATATTTCTGAATTACAACTCCCAGAATCTTCCAGCAAACTTGGCCATACTGGCTATGAAATTCTGGGAAGCCCACAAGTACAACTGTGCTGACTAGTTCCATCCCCCGCTGTCCATACATGCAGATTGAAGAGCCATGTCACAACAATCTTCCACTTTGCACAGGCTCTGCACAAACAGTAGACACGAAGCACAGACAGTCAGTGCAGCCCTGCTAACATATAGGATGAATCTGTGGATGCTGTTTCCAGCTACTGTATAGCTGAAGACCAAAGCCGTAGGAAACAATGCAGAGGGTCATGTGTACGGTAAACGACAGTCATAGAATTCTCATCTTACTGTTGTTAGAAAAAGGCAAAAATCAACCCATTCCCCACAAGCAATTCTATAAGCAAGCCTAAACAGAAAGACCACCCCATTCCTGAGATAACTGGGATGTTCTTTAGAACAGGGGTCCCCAACCTTTTTCACCCCACAGACCGGCTGGGGAAGGCAGGGCATCCCCCGCGCTCGTGCACATGCGTGAACGAGTGCTTTCTCGGATACATGTGCTCATGCGCAAATGGGGGCACAGTGCTTGCACGGGCACGCTGCAGCATGTGCGTAGGCACAAACAGGCTCTGTGGGGGGAGTGTCTGTGGGGGGTGGGAAGTCTGTCTTCGCGGCCCAGTCCGGCTCACGCCACAGACCGGCACCTGGTTGCAGACTGGAGGTTGGGGACCTCTGCTTTAGAATACAAAAACACCTGCAGCATCAAACACTTTTACCGTATTTTTCGCACCATAAGACACACTTTCCCCCCACAAAACAGGGGGGTGGAAAGTCTGTGCGTCTTATGGAGCGAATAAAACAGATTATATTTTCCTGTTTTCTTCTCCTAAAAAACTGGTGCGTCTTATGGAAAGGAGCGAGAGGTGCATATAATTTGTTTCCTAGAAAATAACATCCACTTTGTACAAACACAACTTTTATCCACCCCCCGCCCCCCAGTTTCATGAGGTGGAGATCCATCCAAACAAACCAAATCTTGTATTCGTGAAGGCTTTCACGGCTGGGATCTAATGGTCGTTGTGGGTTTTTCGGGCTCTTTGGCCGTCAGTCTTTGTGGCCAGCCACTGAGACTGGGGAAACGTTAGGAAGAACAACCCTCAGAACATGGCCAAAGAGCCCGAAAAACCCACAACGACCATTAAACCAAATCTTATTAAACCAGTGTTCAGACTTTAAAACCTAGAAATGCAGGTACTGTAGACTGGATTTCTATATGTCTGTTTCATCAGAGGAGCATGTGGGAAGACTCTTTTTCCTGGAATTTAAGATCCTGTTTGTAGTAACTGCTGAACAAAAAACTCTGCAGACCGATACTATTGTGTTACTTTATTATTTGCTGAGTTTTTAACTGGTACCAAATCTCTCTCTTCCTAAACTTTCTCCTATCGCCAGAATCTTGTCCTGAGTCATACAGGTTTTTAACAGGGTGTTGTCCCTTCCTCCTCAACTACTCTCAAAACACTGGCTTTTTGCGACTTATGATTATTACTGATCAGAATAAGGGTTAACCTTCAAACTAAGGACTCTCTCCTTTCACAAGGTCTAGTCTCAGCTGTAATTTCAGAAACAGGAAGTAGCCTCAGTTTACCTTACTCCCATCCTTCATTTTTTTTAAAGGCAGTAGGTGCACAAAGTTTTCTGTTTCTTATATTTAGGTTGTATCAGGACACCCAGCCCAGACTATTACGATAATGGGAATTTTAGCATTCATGAACACATAATTCAAAGTATTTTGGTCTGTCTTTGGGCTTTGCCTAACAAGGTTTCCATATTAGGAGCAGAAGCAAGCACACATCATTAACCCCTAATGATTCAAATTCAACAGAGAGAAAGCCACAATAATGTCAGAACAATGTGGTCAAACTGGGAGGTGAGACACAATTCTTGCAAAGTACAGGTAGGGTTAGAGATACGGCTTGGCAAGTCAGGCTAATAGGAAGCTTAGATCAATGCAAGCTACACAAGAGTCGCAAACACCAAAAAATAAACCCAGTGGGATCAAAATACAATAAAATAGGTTTTAGGGTAAAGGATATTAAGTGCACAAATAATATGCAAAGACATCAAATGCCTAGTAAACCAAGTACAATCCACAAATAACATCCTCTAAAATGCATGATGGGGAAGTGTTGATAAGGTATTCCTATCCCCATTTTGAGCTATTCAGTAGGGATGTGCTCTTTGATATTTTTGGACTTTGACTCCCAGAATTCTCCAAAGATTTCCCAGGCAGAATTCTGGGAGTTTCAGCCCACATACACAAACCTAGAGACCCCTACATTTCTCTCACCTGAAGAAGTGCTTACCTCTGAGGCTTCATGGCCTTTACTTGCTATTGTTAATGCAACAGAAGAAGAAAAGCTTCCTGGGAGTCGGAGTTCTTCAGAAGACAACTTTCATAGATACTAATGGGCTCTGACTCCCAGGAAGTACACAAGTCCAAGGATCAATCCTGGGCACATAAACTAAAAGTGCTTGCAGCAGTTAAATTGGGAGCCCCTACCTTCAGAGCAGTGAAAAGCAATTCAAAACTGGGACTCTGGATTAGAATTACATGACACGGTCTGAGCAATAACAGATACCCACTAACATTTGGGCCTGTTGCTAATGGGGTCATTGCCACTGCCTCTACTCAGATCCTCTGTCAAGCAGACTGTTGTACTGTGACAGTAAGGAACACAGTGCTTTCTAATTCCAATACAGTGGACCCTCTACTTAAGGAATTAATCCATATTGGAATGGTGGCTGCAAGTCGAAAAGTCTGTAAGTCGAATCTCCATTGACCTACAATGCACTGAAAACCGATTAATCCCATAACCAGTGGTTTTTATTCTATTTTTATTCCATTTTGGTTTTTTTCTGGTCTGTAAGTCGATTCTCTGGCTGCAAGTCAAATCTAAATTTTGCAGCCAGAGAAGTCTGTAAGTCGAGCCGTCTGTAAGTCGAGCCGTCTGTAAGTCGAGGGTCCACTGTATAAAATCCAACCCTATACAGTATGGTAAAATAGCATTACATTTCATTATCCCCCTATAATTTGGTTTAGACAAGGAAGAGAGCAGAGGAGAGACTATCTCTGTTCTACTCCAATCCACACAACAACAATACTGACATGATGTCCAAGAGAAACAAAAACGGTCACGCTTAGTACTGCAAGTAAAGAAAGGATATAGGAAGTTCAAGTACTGTACAGTATAAATCTTCATTCACCAAATTCATAGATATGGAAGCAGAAATGACGCAGTCTGCAGCTTTTAAAAAGTCAGCCAAATCTGATGGCAGCAACTTAAAAACACTCAGAGGGGAAATGGGTAAAAAGGA